TGATGAGTCGATGCCTTTTGCTGCTAAATTTACAGAAATGACTGTGATAAATAAAAAAGAATAAATAAAAAACAAAAGAATAAATAAAAAAGTCGATGCCTTTTGTTGCTAAATTTTTGTTACTAAAGTTAAAAAGACATTTTTGTTACTAATGTTCACCGAATACAAGGCCCAAGAGAAATTGAAGGATTGTGATGAGTCGATGCCTTTTGCTGCTAAATTTACAGAAATGACTGTGATAAATAAAACGTAACAAAGAATAAATAAAAAGACATTTTGTTACTAATGTTCACCGAATACAAGGCCCAAGAGAAATTGAAGGATTGTGATGAGTCGATGCCTTTGCTGCTAAATAAAATTTACAAAGAATAAAAATGACTGTGATAAATAAAAACTGCTAAATTTAACAAATAAAAAAGAATAAATAAAAAAAAGACATTTTTGTTACTAATGTTCACCGAATACAAGGCCCAAGAGAAATTGAAGGATTGTGATGAGTCGATGCCTTTGCTGCTAAATTTACAGAAATGACTGTGATAAATAAAAACGTAACAAAAGAATAAATAAAAAAAGACATTTTTGTTACTAATGTTCACCGAATACAAGGCCCAAGAGAAATTGAAGGATTGTGATGAGTCGATGCCTTTGCTACTAAATTTACAGAAATGACTGTGATAAATAAAAACGTAACAAAGAATAAATAAAAAAGACATTTTTGTTACTAATGTTCACCGAATACAAGGCCCAAGAGAAATTGAAGGATTGTGATGAGTCGATGCCTTTGCTGCTAAATTTACAGAAATGACTGTGATAAATAAAAAAAAAAAAAAACGTAACAAAGAATAAATAAAAAGACATTTTTGTTACTAATGTTCACCGAATACAAGGCCCAAGAGAAATTGAAGGATTGTGATGAGTCGATGCCTTTGCTGCTAAATTTACAGAAATGACTGTGATAAATAAAAACGTAACAAAGAATAAATAAAAAAGACATTTTTAATTACTAATGCCCAAGAGAAATTGAATACAAGGCCCTTGTTGCTAAAGAAATTGAAGGATTGTGATGAGTCGAAAACGTAACAAAGAATAAATAAAAAAAGATTTTTGCTGATGAGTCGCTATAAATTTACAGAAATGACTCAGATAAATAAAAACGTAACAAAAATAAAAAAAGACATTTTTGTTACTAATGTTCACCGAATACAAGGCCCAAGAGAAATTGAAGGATTGTGATGAGTCGATGCCTTTGCTGCTAAATTTACAGAAATGACTGTGATAAATAAAAACGTAACAAAGAATAGATTAAAAAGACATTTTTGTTACTAATGTTCACCGAATACAAGGCCCAAGAGAAATTGAAGGATTGTGATGAGTCGATGCCTTTGCTGCTAAATTTACAGAAATGACTGTGATAAATAAAAACGTAACAAAGAATAGATTAAAAAGACATTTTTGTTACTAATGTTCACCGAATACAAGGCCCAAGAGAAATTGAAGGATTGTGATGAGTCGATGCCTTTGCTGCTAAATTTACAGAAATGACTGTGATAAATAAAAACGTAACAAAGAATAAATAAAAAGACATTTTTTTTACTAATGTTCACCGAATACAAGGCCCAAGAGAAATTGAAGGATTGTGATGAGTCGATGCCTTTGCTGCTAAATTTACAGAAAATGACTGTGAATAAATAAATAAAAACGTAACGAAAAGAATAGATTGTGAAATGCCTTTGCTAAATTTACAGAAATGACTGTGATAAATAAAAACGTAACAAAGAATAGATTAAAAAGGCAATTTCTTGATGAATTACCCGCAATGAGGAGTTATCATTATTTCCGTTATTTACATACGGAGTAATGTTCACGTCTTTGTTATTATTACAACGCTTCGGTCATTGTGCACTCCGGCTTTCATCAGGATCTTGTCGGTCCGCGCAACTTTCAGGGAATTTCGAACTCAACCCTTATTTGCTATACGGGGATTGTTTGTCTTCAACTTCCTATGTCTAATAATATCTCGTCTAGTTCATATTTAGTACTGTTCAGTTGCTGCACTTTCCATTTTCATTAATACAAGTCTTCACTGCTCGGCCCAGGTATTGAACTCAAAATTACTATATCATCGAATTCACGAACCAATACTTTAATTCACCAGTGGGACAATCCTGATTATATAACTTGGAGCCTTAAACCTACTCTACCTTCTACTGATGCTTGTCACGTTTGACTACATTTACCGAGACTTCTCTTTTCTACTACTGCTGCTTACGTTTATGCCTCTTTATTTATTAGCGGCTCCCATATCGTATTTATTTATATGCTAGGCCTTCTAAGGGGCTCCTCATAGCCTAGAATATACAGTGTACGTCTGATTTTTCAGTGTTGTTCTCTATCTGGTATTTTTACTTCATTCCACAGGAGCTGATGATCAGCCATTCCTGTTTACTTTTCGATGTTCCTCCAGACTTACTTTTAGAGGACGGCTGATTTTCGGGGTTATATTCTTTTCCACAACCGCTATGGAAGGAATACACGAAGTTCTTGGTCATATTTTCCTTTTCGTTAGGCTTGATTGGGAGGAGATTTCTCTATGGTGTTCAGCTGCTTCTGAATAATTTTCTGGTGCTGTTTCGACCGCTGATATTCTTAATCTTTTTCGATAAGTCCTTGATGTAAGGTAGACAGACAGTACTAATTAAGAATCAGACATGTTCAGCGTAATGAGAACACTCTACCCTCCGTGGATTAAATAATGTTCTCAGTTTGAATTTCTCTGAAGGTTAATGGATTGACAAGGACTTGAATGATGGAGGATACAAAGGCTGAAACATACGGTGGAGTAATGGATATCGGCTCCGATTGAGGCATCGGAGAGCCGAGTTCGAATTCCAGTCGAATCCATGCCTTGGGAAAGGTATGAATCCTATTCTTCTCCCCGCCCCCGCAATGGGTAAATAGCAGGGCAGACCGGGTCCTGTAGCCTTGAATGGCAACTGGTCTACCACAGAAAGAAATGGCAACCTACTGCGGGAAAAAATTTGCGTCGTCAGTTATGTATCGAAAGATACATGATCGCCTACGCGTGTATCACGCGTGGCACATAACTGACTGATATTCACTTACGAGCTAATATCCTTGGGAAAGGTATGAATCCTCTTCTTCTCCCCCTAGCTATGTGTAAATAGCAGGACATACCGGCTTCTATAGCCTTGGATGGCAACTGGTCTACCGCAGAAAGAAATGACAACCTACTGCGGGAAAAAATCTGCCTTGTCAGTCATGTATCGAAAGATACATGATTGCCTAAGCGTGTATATCATGCATGGCACATAACTAAACTGACTGATATAGTGTGGGCATGAACGCTGGTTTCGTTCCCTCGTGTTGATAGTTCAATACAGTGTAGATCAACATAAGGAGAAAACTGTAATTACAAGTCCTATAATCCCGTGATGAAAAGTACATGTCTCAGGATAAATACATGGAGAAGACAGGAAAGTACATCATCCAAAACAAAATAGTAAACGCAACAGAAATGGGGGCTCGCTAAAAGAATAATTAAATCCTTAATGCCTACCGTCCTATTTTTGGTGCAGTGCGGATTTGTGGGTTATAGGTAAAAACCTATAATTATTAGCGGGTTTTTATTTGAATTTTTTATAATTAATATTGAATTTTTGCGGTAAACCTTCTTAGGTTAAATAGTAACAAAATCTAATTTACACTATCTTTCAAATTGCACTAGCGCTTCAACTTTAGACTCTTTGTACTTCAATTTCTTGACCTAACACGGTATTACATCTGCTAGGCAGTCGAGACAGTTGTGTATTTCGATTTCAAGTTCAGGTAATGGTCACTATTTTGAATGATGATTTTAAAAGTGAGCTTTCTGTATTTAGAAGAAAGTAACTCCTGAAATCGTAGCCAGGGTAACTGACTAAAAGGCTTCACGTCAGTGTTGCGAAATAAAGAACCGACCTGCTTGTCATGCAAATCGTCTAACCATGAGAGATTGTTAAACATCAGGACTCAACATTCGACTGTCTTCGAAAAAGCAATTTAATTTTTTCCTATGTCAATCCCTGAGACCCATTCAAACAAAAAGTACGACTTCAACAAACTAGCTTTTATTTATTTATTTATTTTCTAAAGTTGCTTGGATAAATTTTTCTTTATAACAACCCACCTGCTTTTTGAATTACGCAGTAAAAGACTTACGCAATATCTTATTCTGCATACCAACCTCAGTTCTTATTCCCCATTTGCAAGGCATTTTTTTGTTCTCAGTTTTGCTCGGGAAAGGCTTCTGTGGGTGAGAGGCAAACAATGATTCAATACAAGGTGAATATCCCAGACTGTATCAAATGTTTGCTTTTTGTTTTGTTTTTAAATAATTTATTGAAGCGGTTTGTGAGTTTATCACTTTATTAATATTTTACATTTTATTCGTCTGATTTCAATTCAATTTATAAACGCCATTTTCAGCCAACTTTTACGATGAAGTGCTAAAAATTCCTTTACAGACTGAACCATAAATTTCTGCTTTGTATAAATGTTTTACTTCATTAAATTTTTTTACCAAAATTCAGCCTAAATAAAAAAAATCACAAACCTTTGACGGAAGACTAGGTTTCCACATAAAGCGTCTGACATTGATGATTACTAAAATTAACTAAGCATGGCGCAAGGCTACAATCATGGAGCGCTCAGTAAGAACAGAAGGCATTAGTGTAGTAATTGTCTAGCACCCAAATATTAGATTCGTCTAACAAAAAGTCATAAGATTTTCTGAGGCATGAAATCACTTCAGTAATAAAGATATGAAATATTTTCTAGTCACTAAGTTAGTTGAGAAAATGCAGCAACATTATCTTCCTCTACATATTTCCATGTCCTTTTGAACATATTGTTGTCTTATTTGTGGATGTGGTTGCCTTATTGGGAATTGGGACGATTCTGATGCCCATACAACTTTGAATATGTTGAATAATATATATCATCTATGTCAGTAACCGAGCGCTTCTGCCTGGGAAAATGCTTACACGAACTTTCCTGGTAAGAAAGAAAGAAAGAAAGAAAGAAAGAAAGAAAGAAAGAAAAGAAAGAATGTGAGAGCGTAAGAGACACAGACAAAGAAGAAAGAGCGAAAAAGAAGGAAAGAATTTAAGAGCGTAAGAGAGACAGGAGTAAAGAAAGAACGAAAAGGAAAGAAAGAATGAATGAGAGCGTAAGAGAGAAATAACTAAAAAAGAACGCACAAGAATGAAGGAATATGAAGGAGTAAGAGAGACAGAAATAAAGAAAGAAGGAAAAAGAAAGAAACAATGAGAGAGCTTAAGATAGAAATAACTAAAAAAGAACGAAAAAAAAAGAAAGAATGAGAGGACGTAAGAGAAATAAATAAAGAACGAAAAAGAAGAAAGAAAAAAAGAAAGAATGAGAAAGTGTAAGAAATAAATAAATGAATAAAGAACCAAAAAGAAAGAAAGAATGAACGAAAAGGTAAGAAAGAATGAATGAGAACGTAACAAACACAGAGATGAAAGGAAAAAGAAAGAAGGAATGAGAGAATGTAAGAGAGACAGAAATAAAGAACGAAAAAGAAAGAAAGAAGGAATGAATGAGAGCGTAAAAGACACAGAAATAAAGAAAGAACGAAAAAGAAGGAAGGAATGTGAGAGCGTAAGAAAGAGAGAGAGAGAGAGAGAAATAAAGAAAGAACGAAAAAGAAGGAAGGAATGTGAGAGCGTAAGAAAGAGAGAGTGAGAGAGAGAGAGAGAGAGAAATAAAGAAAGAACGAAAAAGAAGGAAGGAATGTGAGAGCGTAAGAAAGAGAGAGTGAGAGAGAGAGAGAGAGAGAAATAAAGAAAGAACGGAAAAGAAAAACGAAAGGAAAAAGGAAGAAGGAGATATCTAAAAAAAAAAGTGTATGAGTTTAATTCGTGGGTAAGATATTAAAACACAAGTAAAAATGAAAACGTAGAATGATGATTTTCAAGGCAGGTAAATTATATTGGGGTGCTGATAGTGTTGCGGATATGGGCACGAAAAGTGGATTCGGCGAATTCTGGGTTACTCTTAGGAAAGGTATGAATCCATCTCTTCTCTCTCATCCACTTATGAGTTAAATATTAGAGTAGACTTTATTCTTTAGCCTTGAGTGGCAACCAGTCTAAGAAGAGGGAATCTTAAAATTCCAAAATGTAGAGAAGGCAACGGGAAACCACTCCACTATCTTTCCTAAAATGTATGGGAAGTCACAAATAATAAAGAAAAGGTTTCTGTAGAGAACCATGATCGCTTACATCCTAATGGTATTAAAAAACAATTATTCTGATTGAAAGTCTGGAGCAACACAATCTTAGTCCTTTTTTTCTTCTATTTGCCCTTGTGCCATACTAAGCTATTCTTATCGATATAAAAAGATAGGAGTTTAGTTGTTTAACAATTTTTTTTTTTGTGAAATGTAACGGACCATCGGAGCGTGTCGAGCTCGTCCTAAATTTACGGTTATTAACTTCTCACAGCAAGAAAAAAAAGAAAAATTAAGAGAAAGAGAAAGAAAAAAAATCTCTTTTCATTTGTTTTCCCGCCAGACGATAGTCTGGTTAGATTGAGGACTGACCTATGGCAACAAAGTTAGAGAGGAACAGAGTGACACACGATACAAAAGCGGGTGATGAGGAACACGAAAACAGACAAAGAAAAAAAGGGGAGCCAAATATTGAAATACCAGATTTTCAGACGCTAGCTAGCGCACAGACGTTGTGAAATGGGTATTTCTAATCAGTGCCTACTACTCGATGTTTAAAAAAAAAAATGAAAAGAACAGAAAAAGCAGAGGAAGGGGAGAAAAGATGACGCTTATAACAACAACAACAACAACAACAACAACAAATGCTGCAAAATGGAGAATGCGTGAACAAAGAGCTTGTTTTCAGTCGAAGCCCATAGGAGCAGGTGTTTGGTGAAGTCCGCGCACCAAGAAAATGAAACTGAGGAGATCAGAATTGTTTAGTCCCTGTGTGCACGCGCACGATTAAAAAGAAAGGGAGAAGTCGTATACCCAGACAGACAGACAGACACACACACACACACACACACACACACACACACACGCACACACACCGAAAGCAAATAGGCGTATTTGCACGTGCATATTTTATAAATTTTTGTGCAAACTTGCAAAGCTGTGTGTGTTCATATATATAGTTACACTAGTCCTGTTCGGTCGACGTGAATTTTAGTCACAAAAATCTGGTTTCCTTGAGAGAGCATGCGAATATTTCCTTTAAAAACCTTTTATAAAATGAATCTGCCAGTTTCAGTGATTTCTGATCAGTCCAAGTCTGGCACAAGGTTACTATCCAATGAGCAATGAATTGCTCTAAAAAATAACTTTTAAGACTTACACGTTAACCATTGCTCTGATATGAAAAGTTAGTACATTCAGCAGATAAATGAGAAGACATAGGAGAAAGATTGTGTTGCACCAACCTTTCAAATGCATGGTATAAAAAGCCATATTCCTGTTTAATGAGTTTGATCCGTACTAGATGCTCCATTATTGTGATCTTATGCCAGACTAGGCTAATTTAGTAGTGTAAGGAATCGATTGCACCGGCAAGAATAAATAACACGAGAGTTGAATCTTTTGCACATTACATTTTATTCACCTCCTGACGCTGTAAATTTCCGATCGTCCAGTGTGTGTGATGTTGGTGGTGGGTGGGTGTTTGGTGTTCTGCGGCTCACCGCGCTCTTGGTGCGATGTGTGGACGCTAAATTCTGTCTGTATCTGAGACTGCTCTCGATCTTCCCTGGGGCAGTTATTTATATAACTGCATACAACACAAATCTTCCACAAGCCTGCACACCGGATGCAAGAGTGAGGTCGCGTGATTCTACATTCGGCGGCCGGAGGTGACTCTGTGGTGCGATTGCCTTCTTTGATAGTTTGCAATGTTTCATCTGGTATCATATATATATATATATATATATATATATATATATATATATATATATATATATATCATTAAATATGTCAGACAATGAAGATTTAATTAATTTACATTTAGGTTTTTTCCAGCTTCCTTACGTTTTTCCAGCGTCCTGACGTTTTGCAGGAGTAACGGAGTACATAAATTTACCATAATTTTCCTAGTCTCAAGCGGTTTCGGCATTTCTTTTGCCATTTTCAAGGAGTGTCATACAGCAGTAAAAAAAAAACACAAAAAGCCTGTGAAAATTATGTAAAATTTCTCTATCCCTTTACTCCAACAAAACGTAAGGATGCTGGAAAAACCAAATAAAAAATGAATTAAATCTTCCTTGTCTGTCGTATTTTATGAAAGGTGTGTAAAAGAAAGGTTGCTGTTCAAATATACACACACGCATGCGCTATATAAATAGAAGGTCTGGTTTGTTTCGCCAGTACAGTTCACTTGCAGGGGCACCTCGAGGTGGTGTAATGGTTAGCAAGCTTGTCTCACTAGAACAATTACGACTGCGTAGTGAGTTCGATCCTCACTGGGTACCCCCTACTTTCGGCCTTGTGCCACATCCGAGGCTGTCAGTTCAGCCTGAAGTCGGGCGACCGGCTGATCGGTTGAACTCAGTCTTCAGTCGGGGAGGAACCCGAACGTGGCTACGCCGAAGGGCGGAGTCTCTTTCGGGGAGGTAAACCGACCCTGAACCCGTTTATGCGGGTTCAAAATGCATATTTTTGGCCGATCCCACGTAAAACCTGCCTTGTGCCATATGATGACCTCGTGGCGGGGGGGGGGGTGACTAAATACCGTTCAGTTCACTTGCAGACAATTTCGCTATCAAGGAAAAAGATCAAAGAACTGACTCTGACTTCCGACGATCAGTCTTCGCACAGTTTCAGCACAAACTCCCATTTCTATTTTTTGCTAATTGTGACCAAGACTACTGTTAACTTTCTGTTGGAGGCTATTATTTTTTTAATTTTTCTCTGGTTTGATTTAATTCTTAAATTTCCCCTAGACTGAATCCATATTGTTTTGAATATTTAATTGTAATATATTCATATGTTTACGTTTGTAAATTAATTATATTTGTTATAAAATTCAAGCGTTAATAGTATTTCTTTATTCTCCTTTTCTTTCACCCTCTCTCTCTCTCTCTCTCTCTCTCTTTTCGTTTTGTCGCAATCGTGACAAAATGGGGTTTCGTCCTAAGCTTTTGTGTTCATTTAAAAAAAAATACAGCAATTCAGTTGTCTTAACTAAAACAGCAACAACAAAAAAAAACTCTTCAGAGGCTTATTGAATTTGTATTTAAAAATCTGTTTTCTTTCATTCAGTGAATTGAAAACCATTTTGTGATGCAACTGAAAAAAGAAATTATTCACAGATTAAAATCTGTTTCTTTAAGTGAATCAAAAGATATGAATTATAATGAATTTTTAAATATATATATATATGTGTGTGTGTGTGTGCTAGTATGAAGTCACTGACGATTGCATCTAGCATGAAACAAACTGTCGCCTAAGTGTTGACTTCTATGTTCACTTTTATATTTACACACGCTCTATCTCTGATATTGAGCAATTTACCCTATAAATATAGCATATATTAAGACTATATTTCTTCATATATATATATATATATATATATATATATATATATATATATATATTTTTAATATTCACCTTTCTAGTAAACATAACTCCGCCCTACACATTATCAAACCAACACCCTGTGAGGATCAATCTTTGAATATAATCAGCACCTGAAGATTGCAAGATCGAATGAAACCCCCGAGTCGTGCTATCGACGTTGGTTATTATGTATATACACTAATATATACCCAATAACTGTGTTGCATAACATTGAACAGTGCATTTATATCACATAAGAAAGAAATATATTTTCGTGTACGGCCAAATATATGTGGGTATATGTATATTTTTTATCCTACCAATATATATATATATATATATATATATATATATATATATATATATATATATATATATATATATGTATTTCATATTACTATAAACGTTGTTTTTTTATTGGGTACATGTATCTGAGTTGCCTAAATTGAGAAGTCTTACTAAAGAAATATCCCGCTTTCCCATCAATGAAAACCGCTTCCATAGTCGAAACGTTACGGAAAATTTCTCTATTTCTTTACTCCAACAAAACGTAAGGATGCTGGCCATGGAGGTCACGTTGATAGAGCAACTCAAATGCATGAACCCAATAACAATATAAAAAATGGCTGGCCCCGTGTATCCGAGGATATCCGTCTACAAGCTCGGCTACCCAATCCCTGTTGCAGACGCATACTCAGGAACATTTGTGTTTGTTCAACACCCACAGAGCCCACCTGTGTTTTATATTGCAACTATGCTGAGAAGACCTTAGTTATAGTTTCTGGGAAAGAGCGTTATCTAGAGTGAGCAACAGTTTGAATAAGGCTAGCACGCTCAAACCCTCGGCCACGATGACTTGTGACTTCATACTAGCACAAACTTCGATTTTTGCCAATGAATTCTGTCTGTCCAATTTAGCTTACAAGTCTTGGGTCAAGCCGTGTTATGATTTTAAGGCACTTTCAAAAGGTGCCGCTTAACCTGTTCAAGTCTCCGTTATCTTCCCCTCCTATCCAGATAAACTAGCTTTTATTGTAACCCTCTACCTCGAGTGCTCACCGGCCTTTTACGGAGTGAACCTTACTGTAATACACACACACACAAACGCACATACAAACATATATATATATATATATATATATATATATATATAGAGAGAGAGAGAGAGAGAGAGAGAGAGAAGAGAGAGCAAGAGATTGCTGTGAACTCATTGTGTACGTGTCAAAGAGCGAAACCTAGGAAAAATATCTCTTAGTGGTGTTAATTTCTGAGTGCCTACCGCTCTGGTATAAAGTGCCACACAAAAACAGGCTTCGTAAATCTCTCCATTGCAGTCAGCCTATTGGACGCCTACTGACAACAACCATGGTTAACAAACTTGTCTCAAAATGCAGGTCTTTTTTTACAGTGAGGTTCACTCTGTTAAGGTCCAGGGGCCATTCGTTAGTAGGAAACATGTTACGTACCTCTTAGACTCTTTCTCAAATTAAGCATGTTTTCGTAGCGGTAATGAACAAGATATTTTAACGGTTTTAATGATAAGAGAACCTAACGATAAAGATGGACAATAAATATAAGGATATAAAAAAAAAAAACATTTGAAATGAAAATAAAAGCGGCGAAGATAGATATTTAATCAAACGGTGGCAATAAAAGAAATGTCTGAGGCGCTCTGTAATTTGAAAGGAATAATACAATATTTAAGAACTGTTCAAACCAAAAAATCTTACCGTGAGATGACAACCATGATTAAAAAAAGATTTACACCAGAAAGACAAACATCAGAGAAGGAAAATGGAAAAGAGAATACTAAGCAATTAACAAATAATAATAATAATAATTGATTGACTCGTTTTCTACGGCTTATCAACCCATTGCAGATTATTTAAAACCAGAAAATATTTTTAGATTGTAAGATTTTTTTAGTAGTTTAGTGATACAAGGCTTACTAATTAATCCATAGATGGGGGAGAGAATAAGTGGATTTATATCTTTCCTAATTGTATTTGCGCGTAAGTAAATATAGCGAATCAAACTGAAATTGGAACTCGGCTTTCAGATTAACAATTCCAAGCTATAATCCATCAACCACACACACAAGCTTACAGCACTTGATATACTCAAGCCGTCACCCATCTAGTTAATGACCAGGCTCGACGTTACTTAACTTCAGGGATCATACGGAAACAGATATTTCAACGTGATGTGGCCGTAAACGAAAACCCAAAACAAACTAGTTAATGACCTAAGAAACCAGTATCTCTGAAAAACTGGAAACCAAATTTCTGAAGCCAGACAATATAGACATTGTTTGAAATGTGGAGAAAAGCGAAAAATCACGATAGCATCCTACAATCGGAACCAAAACAAAAATTTCCTGATCTCAAAAAACACTTTAGTCACATTTCTATCCTGATCGCTCCTTAGCTGAAGATACACGCGGAATTAAAACATAGACTAATATACATCCCAGCATTACAAAATCTGTCTCCAAATATAAACAATAAGGAACCTAATGATGAGAAAGTAACGCCAACTATAAAAAAGCTAAAGAATAATAAACATTGTATTAACTTGACTCTAACCATTGTATAAAAATCAACTCATCACAACCTAATATGACTTTCGTTCTTGTGAGAGATATAATGGTGGC